GCAGCAGTTCGCATCCAGACAATGAGGTCTTCTTGCTGACTCAACTGTTCATGAAGAAAATTATTCAGAAGACGAATATCCAATTGCCCAACAAGAAAAGAAGATAAAATTAAGAAGAGACCATGAAAGAAGCCTATTCGTTGGTCACCAATAGTGATATTAAAGTGAAATATAAGTTTGCGCGATATCTTCAGATGTATTTGTATTGATTCAAAAACAACACAAGGTAAGCAACATTTCAAGGACTTTTTCATTTAAACAGAAGATTCATATATAAAAAAATCGTTAACAAATAGATGGTAAACACACTATGACACCAAAACCACAAGTTGCTGCCGGGGTAGAAATCATCTCTATTACGACCAACGTGACAAATATTCTCTAGTATCAATACATGCGTACAAAGGAGGAGACAGATAATATAACAAGAATAACAATTAACAATTAAGCATAATAAGTGCACACAAATCTTAATGCCACATCCAGATGTTCCCTCCGTTTTTGGAAAAACTCTATTACAAAACCAAATGATACTACGCACAGAAAAATAAATGTATCAGAATCAACTTATGCATAAGATGTTTATATGTCCATATATAAAACTGCAAGTCCAAGAGACGAAGCCTACTAAACAAACCATTCAAAAAAAGTTACATTTTCACCTCCATAGAGAAAAGTTCTAAAAAAAAAAGTGTACAATATTCGTTCATCCAACTTTTTCTCTCCTCAATTTATCAATAAATTTTTGAAATAAACTATTTCCATTAATAAAAATTTCTCAAAGGCATTTACTATTCATCTACTCACACATTGTTAACTACCACTCATTTCTTTATTTTTTCGTCACACCAACCCCAATCATTACAAATTCCATCTTACATCCAATCACACTTTTCAAATTATTTTTTCTATCTACCTTAAACTTTTTCAAACACTTCTCTCCAGTTAATTAAAAAAAAAAAAAATCAGTGGAAGCATATCCAATCACACCGCCTTTTTCACTCTAGTAATATGGTTCTGTTAACAAATTAAGTTAATAACAGATGCAGAAAATCTATCTTTTAAATAAAGTACAAATCCAATCACTTTTTACTACAAGATTAGAGTCTTACTGGTATTGACGCATTAAGACTACCACCACCTATAAGGGTACCGTTCTGGAAGTTTCTGGGGAAGACATTATCTCCAAACTTGCGATCCCTATCACTCTTCCAAGATATGTCTCTCTTGTTTATGGCCAATTCCTGGTTATTGCGAGTAATTCCATAAGTGTCATTAAACAAACTCCACGCTATAAGACCACAAGGAACAATAGGGTTCCCATCGGGTGTGGTGTCTTCTGGACTACAAGAACTTGTTTCACGCTCACTCCCGGGACTCCTCAACTGCTGATCATTTCGGCTCCTCACATATCTACATCAAAGAATATCATAAAAGGCACAAGAAATAAATATTTGGTAATAAGATGCACCAACTAAATCAAAAACTCTTATGAGAAAAAAATAAATGTTCACTTTTAATTTTCGAAAAAGAAAAGAAAAGAAAAGAACAGCAACTTAATGACTAGTTTAATCCATCTTGATTTGTAATGCTAAGATCCACATATCCCCCTCCAATGAGACAAATGCACCAAAACTCATCTTCAAGAAATGATGCAATGCCAGACTGAAAACTGTAGCCAAAATTTGGTAAAAGAACAAGATGAAACTGTATTATAGATACCTGCGGTGATTCTGATAGAAATTGTCGAGCTGGTAATACACATAAATTGGTTGCCCCATATGCTTTGGAACCTGAAACATACAATTCCATTAGTATTTATAGTGTTATCATTATTGATTATTCTATGAAAAACAGACCAAAACGATGAGATGCAATAGACTAATAGTCATGACAGCAATCAGAAAAATACTGAATGACTCACTGTAATAGTTCTATTGCACGTCTTGTCTCGAGAACTTTGAATAAACCCAACCCTGTTGTTTCTTGATCCTACAGGAATGCATTCAGCATCATATCGATGTACAATTTCAACAACCTGGTGAGCGGGAAAGAATATTCAGTTAGTGACAAAACTTGAAAAGAAAGACAGATCAATCATCAGATAGTAATGACATTATCCACCAGCAACATACATCTCGTGAAGCAAGAAGAGATACAACTCCGATTGGTATGAAGACAACACTAACAAGCAAGAATGTAGAGATCACCTGCGCCCAATAGTGCACGAGTGAGATAAATCATTTATTTAAAGGGTGAGAAATTTCTGCCAAACTTGAAATAATTACCCATTTAGGAGTGAGAATAGGCTTGCAAGCAGGTAGTTCTTGCTGGGTGAACCTTGAATCTGGGCAACATGATAGAAAAGGAAAAACACTTAGAATCCCGAAAAAAAGTATTTATTACATATCCAAGATTCAGCATTCAAAATCCAAGAAAGGAAATTTGATTACAACATTCAATATTATTTTAGGTAAAAATAATTCTTTCCATATATTTTGGTGAAATCACAGTTGCAGCCTCAAGGTGTACAACAAGATATATTTTGCCAAAAACGCCATGGCTTGTCAAAATCAAGTTCCAAGCTTTGATTATACAAAACATGATTAACTAATCTGTCATTAGATCACAAGCAGTACCTAGTTTTGGAAAGTCCCAAATCACGTAATTTCTCCTAAATTGGGACAAATATTGATATTCTCTCCATAATGTAACACCAAATAACAAAAATGATAAAAACAAGGCAACAATGAAACATGAAAGGTAGCTACGAAAATTACATTTGGGCCGCTTGGAATTTCTTCTAGGCGCCGTCGGCTCGGCCGATCCAGCTCCTCCGGCACTCGACGACGGAGTATTCGAGTTCATCACTTGGCCACAACCTTTTCTTCTCGCTCTTCCACTACCCAGAACAACAAGAACCCTCAAGATCTCAAGTGGAAACGCAAACGGGGTCGCGGATCGTGGAATCAAAAGAACCCTTCAATGGTTGACAGATCTTTTCAAAATCAAAACGAAAAGAAAATTGTGTAGGTTTTGGCACAACACAGAGGTTTGCTGAGATGGGGTGGGAAGCTAATCTTTATCAAATTTTCACGCTATTTCTCCTCGTTTGACTTTGAAAATTCTTCGCGTGTTGTAGTTTTCGCAAGAGCCCACCAAAAAAAATCAAATAAAATTAAAAAAGAGAAGATTGTGAGGAGATTTTCTCTGCCAAAAAACTCAAAAATGGCGGATTTAATGCGGCAATGATCCCAGTCTTGAAAGAAAAATGTGATTAAGGTTTCTAGAAAGAGGAAGGCGTTGAGAAGGTTGGGCAGGTTGAGCCCAGGGGTAAAGTTGGAAGCGGCACAAAAGAATTGTCAAACATAACTCAAACATGATGGGCTGCTTGCTTGTTTTGCATACGGTTGGAAAATAAATCACGTGTTTTTCCAGTACCACTACCGTGTGCCCTGGCACACCTAGCTAGGTGTGCCAGGGCACATTTACACGCGCCCCTTACTCCCCAAAACTTCCCAAAATTAGAGAAATTAAGAGAGTGTACTTCACATCCCCATTTTCCTTTTTAATTGAAAAATGAGACATATTACATAAATTAAAATATCATTAATTATTTATATTAAAAAATAAAATAAAAATACCAAAATTCATAATTTTTCATTATCTATAAAT